TATCCCAAAATGTTTAAAACCTTTTTTTTTTTTTTTTTTCTTTCTAATAAATACTTTATTTGTCATTTTGCAGTAAAATAAAGAAAGAGTAACCAGTCATCTATGCTAACCATTTAATATAACTATATTTGCTAAAATATTGTTGATTATTCTAATTCAATTTTTAAGTACAGTCAAAAGTCGTTAATCCGGACGCGTCGGACTTCGGCGATTCCGGATTATAGATCATCAATTTAAATCTGGTAAGATACATGCGAAATAACAAAATTAAAAATATATAAAACCGTAATTATGAAAAAAAACTAGATCTAAAGGGTATAAATTTACAAAAAAAGATTAATATTTATTGTTTACTTTTTAAACATTTCCTTAATGTAAGTTGCTTGTTTCATGTGATAATACTTCTCTTTAATTCTATTAAAAGACATAATTTCTTGTTTAGTTACAAAGTTCCGCTGTTCAAGTCCTATAATGCGTGTTGAGAATACCGAATTTGTCAATCAAATGTTTTGTTTCAATAACACTGGGTCACTTTCTTCACATCGAAGCGAATTATAAGGAAGGACTTGATTTAATCATATCAAAGACGAGTAGCTCAGATAATATACACTTAGTACGGAATTATAAACCAAATAAAAAAAACATCTGCCCTGAAGATAAGGATAGTGTGACAGATCAACTTCCAATCAGCGGTGTGAAATTGATAAACAGATTCGGTTAAAACATACTTTCGCTTTGTAGATACAATTACATATTAGAAATATATATCGAAATTCTATTTGACATAATCTTTCTAATCTATCATAATCTATAATATGTTTCTGCTCCCCCCCCCCCTCTGCTGCAGAGCAGCTAATTGAGATTTTGGATTTCAAAACATACTTTGCTTTGTAGTAAATATATATCAAAATTCTTTGACATAATCGAAAGTTCAAGCTTACTTTTAAAAATTGCTATAACAGTCTGCAAAAAATAATAAGCCAGATCCAATTGAAGATAAGGAACAACGCAATCTGCAACATTAACTGAATTAGATACTTAGCTTAGCGTATAACTCCGTTACAATTAACGCGCATGGCACAAATATTCGCAGCCGTAAGGTCTTACGCGCTCCGTAAACGCCGTGCGCATGCGTGAGCGAGCATGCGCAGAAAGTTTGTAGCTTGACGTCCGATTATAGATCATTCCGATTATGGGTGCCGAATTAACGACTTTGGACTGTAATTATCTTTTTTAAGTTATTGTATCTTTATGTGCTTTCCTCTAAATTTATTTATTAGTAGTAATAATACTTTCAAATTCAAGAAATTTTTCTGGCATAATCCTAAATAATTCTAGCAGTATGACAACAAACCATCACGAAATTTATGAACATATTTTTGCTATGTTAGCTGCTAATAATTAAAAATACTAATTTATTAAAAATAGCAAAATAGATTTCTTTCTTTTGTTTAGCTGCACATGTCTGCAAAAAATCGACTTTTTATCTATATTGGCAGATTGTATCTCAACTCATCGGAGAAAACACCTTTTATATTATGATATGTATATATTCATATATGTGTTATAATTATATATTAATTCTTTGGGATTATACTATATGTATATATATAAGTATATATAATTCGCAAATTTGTGGTTTTCAAGTAATACCATATTAATTTACCTCTTACACGGCCAACGTGCTAAATTTCTTAAACACACCTGGGAATTTCGTTCCTGTGAGTGGCAACCCTGAAATATTGTTTATGATATTATAATTTTTAATTATATACTTGAGTTTTATGTATTTTTGCCTTTTCGCAAGTGAGAACTGAATAATTGAATCAGAAACGAATCATCTGTAAAAAACGTTCTTTGTTGTTTTGTTTGCTTCATTTCTTTTATAATCGTCTAAATTGTATAGTATTTGATAGACATGGCACGATTAGATATTCTCAATAATGTAACTTTTGTGCATTTCTGAGTTATAATATGAACAAAATATAATGCTGTTGAATGAATTTAGCGCCAGAGTGTCGCTATGGTAAACAAATATAGTGAATTTTAAAGAGTGCATTTATTCTATTGTGGTTTATGCGCTATCGATGAAGTAGATTTAATTCAATCCAAGAAGTTTAAATGAAATACAAGAAAAAATACATATAATTTAATATTCCGTACAAGGAAGTCATGTAGAGTACACATCAGGTTATTTTATTTTATCGCAGTATAAAAGCAAGTGTGGCATCATTTTTGTGCCTATTAGATAGGTACCAACTTTTATTTTAGATAAAAATAAAACATTTGATAAAAATTTTAAAATATGTTTCAAAAGCAATTTATAAAACATGAGTTATATGCATATTAAATAAATAAGTTTATGTTAAAAAAATATTTGTTGCACTGGGTAAATATTCAATTTCCCCTATCCCTGTAATGGGTTCATTTTTAGTAAACAGGTTTAATTTCTCAGGGTTGCCACGCTACCGGGAGAACCGGGAAAAGTCAGGGAATTCGAAAATTGACCAAAATATTCAGGGAAAAGTCAGGGAATTTAAGTATTTTTGTCAAAATCTGGAAAAGTCAGGGAAGTTCATACAACGATCCCGCCAAAAAAAGCGATTTTTGCGCCGACGTCGGAAGAGATAACTTTTTTGGCGAGTTATGTATCACGTGAGTGTCATTCGGGTAGCTGGCATAGAGCCAATTTTCGCAGCTCCAATTTGATTGTCTTTTAGAAAGGCAAAGCAACTTTCCCGCAAGTTTTGGTTTCCAGTATTCTCGAGAATCGCATGTGCAGTGCATGAATTAAAGAAAGTACCTGTCTCGTATAAAACAAAATGGGTTTAATCCTAGTATACGGTACCATGGTGGTAGAATCAAAGAATATGTATCGTAAAGAAGGAAACCTCTTGCTCTCTGCAACGACGTGGCTGTGGCTCCGTTCCATCATAGAGGGAAACAGCTGTGCATGTCTGATATATCTGTTGCCAAAGCTTGAAACCGGTGTCGAAGTTCGAAGGTCACGTTATCAAGAGTTCATAAAATGAATATCGTTTAAAATTTCTTTAACCACTTGCGCTAAAAAGACGTGCCACGCACGTGGAGATGCTTTTGTCTCAAACTGCGAGCGACGTGAACACAACGTCGATAAGCATTTATCGCGAAAATGAAAATAACGTGGTGCACACGTCGCCTAACAACGAGATTGTTTATTTCTTGAGTTACAGCTCTGGATTGCACTCGCAGATGCGGAGCGGCGTAAATGAGACACTTTACCGCTTGTTATATTGTAGCGCATGGCACCACAACCGTGAAGTTTAGTCTTAGCGCAAGTGATTAAACTGTAAAGGAAAAGAAAATATTTTTTGGTGCAAGTAAATTAATTCATGGATTAGTTATTTTCAGGAAAAAAAAAACTACGAAAATCCGTTTTTAAAATTATTGCGAAAAATCCAAGAAGAAACGCCCTTTGATAAAACGTTTCTTCTTGGATTTTTCACATAATTTAAAAACTGAAACATTTCAGTAGTTTTCTTTTTTGTCAAAGAGCGTTTTTCTTAACACATGTTCCTCAATTTCCTATACACATCGCGGAGAAGGGAAATTCTGGCCGCCAGGTTTCCGTCGCCAAATCCCTTGGCAAATTTTCCCTCCGCATTCTAGCGGCGTAATGGCATTTTACATCTATGGAACCTTTCTTTTCTTCTTTACATAGACATTCTTTGGTTAGAATAACCTCCATATATTCTATTCTAACCTCCAGGTACGGTACACATCAAGATTTGGATGTCATTATAATGAGCGGTAAACGGGTCGTTTTGGTGTTGCCGACAATTTTCAAAATCGTGCCAAAGCCTTACCGTATACTAGAATTTTTGCAAAATCTTTTTAAAACCTTTTTTTTTTTTTTTTCTTTTTAATAAATACCCTTGCCATTTTGCAGTAAAATAGAAAAATAGTAATCAGTCATCTAGGCCTAACCATTGTAATATAACTATATTCGCTAAAATATTCGTTGATTATTCTAATTCAATTTTTAAGTAATTATCTTTATTTTATGTTATTCGTATCATTTAATGTTTCCTTCTTCCCTCTAAGATTTATTTATTATTAGTAAATAATACTTTCCAAATTTCAGGAAATTTTCTCTGGTCATAATCCTGAAATGAATTATAGCAGTATGATGACATACCATCACGAAATTTAATGCACATATTTTTTCCTTATGTATGCTGCGAAATTAATATAAAATACCTCAATTTATTAAAATAGATTTCTTTCGTTTAGCTGCAGAATGTCTGCAAAAAAAGCCTTATTTTATTCCAGATTGGGAAGATTCTAATCTTAATCTTCAGTGGAGAAAACAACTCCTATTATAATTATATTTGTGTTTTCAAGTGTTAAGGTGCCTTTTAAGAACATACCTCATGCAAATTAAATTTACCTAAAATCTAATCTAACTATTTAGCATTGCGTTGTGATTTATAAGGACCGGATTAGCCTCGTGTTGAACTGGTGATGATCATGAGTATTAATTAAATAAAACATACATTTGTTATCCAATATATATATCTTAAATTTTATTAAGTTTCTTAAGTGGAAAACTAAACAAAATTATCAAAGTATACCAAGAATAATTAAGAATAAATGTCCTGGGATTTATTGAATAATTAAGTGAATTTGCTACACAATACAAGTAATACCATAATTAATTTACCTCTTAGCACAGCCAACGTACATTATGCGGATAGACTGGAATTTTCTTGAAACACACCTGGAAAACCTGGAAAAGTCAGGGAATTTCATTCTCCTGTTTGAGTGGCAACCCTGGTTTCTGCCTCTTCTGATGTTATAAAAAAAAATTGAGAAAGCTAAGCTTTATCCAAAAGCTTTTTGTCTTGTGCAAATCTTTTTTTTAACAACAGAAAGTAAATTATAAATTGTCTGTATATTTTTTAAAAATTTATATTATGCTTTTCTTCAGAAAGTAATATGTTTTTTGTCTTTCTGGATAGCTCTTCTCCTGAACACCCAGTTCATGTACCTGTACTCGATACACTTAATTTTGTATCACGAATGTTTAATTTGCAAGAATTAGTTCAGGTAAGTTAAATTGTAATATGTGAGGAGACAAAAACTGGGTATTATTTAAAAATGCATGACACAATGGTCTTTACCAGCATATTTTGTAAAAGAATATTTTTGTTCTTTCTTATAATTTTAAAATCCTATTGATTAATAATGCCTCATCCAATAGTAGTATCTTTCTCATCATTTTTTACTTATGCTACCCACATTTTTTCATATAGATGCATTAAAATTAAATGTACCTTTATTTTATCTGTTTCATATTGTTTTTATCTTTTTTGTTTTATATTTAATTATTTCTATTGGTTTTGGTTTATGAGCTTGTTTACAAAATGTCATTGTGAAGTTTAAATAAATAAGTTGCAGAAATGTGTTAATCCATTTTGCATTAATTCCCATGGGAAAAATTGTTTCTGCTGACAAACAACCTTTATTTATGAATAAAATTTGTAAACTGAAGTTTCACTGTATAAGATTTCCTTTCCTTCCTTATTGTATGCTTTCCCCCCTTTCTTCTAGGGAACATCCACATCTGTAGAGGTAGCAGATGTCATAGCTCTCTTGCCTATGATGCAAGATGCTGCTTTTGTTCTTTTAGAAGCGTTGATTTTAAAGTAACTATTATTTATATATAATTTTAACAATTTGTTGTATATTTTTATGCAAAATTCATGCCAGGCTTTAAAATTCATTGGTAATAAAGTAAATAATAATAATTCAATGAAATTTTAAATGAAGCTGTAGTAAATATCTAATTTGACAAGTGTTCTAATTGACTTTGAATTACTGACCATCTGCATAAATATTTATCTTAGCTTATAAAAAATAATAAAGAATGTTACTAAGAATTCTCAGTTGTTAATTGCATATAGCAACAAAGTAGCATGAATATATTTTTCTATTTTATCTTCATACATCTGTTTTAAAGCTCGAAAAGCATTTTTGTTAATCCCAGTGATTGAAAGTGGGGACCATGAAAAGAAAATATTTTCTATCGGGTGCAAAATTTTGAAAAACCAATCGAATGTCAGTTCATGTCTGTCTTGCTGTAATTAATTTGTTTTTATATCAAGTCAGCATAAATTTGAAAGTTAGAACTTTAAGGCAAAGTCTCTTAACCAGTTTTTATGATGCAACAAGATCTGCAACCATTGCCTAGCAACAAAGCTCAGTTTATGCCTCTTATTGACCAAAAAGCCATTATGTGAACAGAACCTAATGTGCCATCTAAAAGCATAAATTAATGAAGCCCGCTTTCCTTAATTTTGACCAAATTTGGTAGGAGGTCTTTAATTTTAATCATCTGAAATTTCTGTCTGTTTTTATGACTGAATTCTGAATGTCAATAAGCATTTTGAAGGAATATTTTTGGCAGTTCGCTGATAAATATAGTTATTGTTTCAATGTGTTCATGAGTTATAATTTGTTCCTATTTGTAATATAAATAATACTGCTGATACTGAAGCTGCTGAAGTATTTGCAGATGAATTCATTAAACTCATGAATAGTGAAACCTTATCTCCAGGACTAATTTACGATGCTGATGAAACTGGTCTTTTCTTTTCTCTATTTTTTTTTGGGGGGGGACAATATGTGCCATGAAATACCTTAGCAACCTCCATAGAAAAGGCTCTAAATGGTGTCCAAGATTCCAAAGCAAGACTAACAATTTTAGCATGCGCAAATGCTGCAAGAACTTGCAAATTGTAAGCTTTTCGTAATTGGAAAAATACATGACCTCGAGCATTTAAAGGAGTAAAGATTTTCCATGTTATATATCATGCAAATAAAAGAGCATTGATGACACAAGCATTTATGTATGATTGGGTTTGAAGATCATTTCATATCCAAGGGGGCTCGGCAAAATTTGAATTTGCTTGGTTTACCTGATGATGCAAAAATTGTCCTGATTATAAATAACTGTATGGTTCATATTTCACTTAAAGTTTTAGTGAAAGGTAATGTATCCATGTTATTTTTCCCTCCAAACTGTATGTCCATCATTCAGCTTATGAATATCAGAGTAGTGCACGTGCTGAAATGCAAATATAAAGTAGCATTTTTAAAATCCATGTTAAATTTCTTTAATAATGGCAACACTATTCAAGAATTTTAAAAATATTTTAGCATAAAATCTGCTGTGTGAAGCAGCGCAAGATCGGTTGAGGATGTGCCTCCAGATATTTTTTTTTTTTTTTTTTTAATGCTTGGCAAAATTTCTGGCCAGCTGCCATATTTCACGAAAATGATTGCCGCGAATTTGAATGTTTTTGAATAATGCAAACCAGAGGTGAAATTTTCCAACTAATGGATTTTTGTAAAGAAATATGGAGAAACGGTTATAAATGAAGATGATATAGCAGATTGTTTTCATTATGATGACAATGCTTCAAATGTTGATCAATTAACGAACGGTGAAATCGGTAGTATAGTTCTAAATTCAGAAAATACTGCTATGACAATGCTTCAATCGTCGATCAATTAACGAATGGTGAAATCGGTAGTATAGTTCTAAATCCAGAAAATACTGCTACTGATAGTGAAGAGAGAGGCTATTGAAAACAAAAGAATTTTGATTGGCAAGTTAATCGGAATTCATGACGTAGCAACTACAGGACTTGAACAGTGAAACTTTGTAACTCAACAAGAAATTATGTCTGTCTATAGAATTAAAGAAACAATATTAGCACAAAAAAATGAAGCAACTTGAACAACATACATTGAAAGAAATGTTTAATAAAGCAAGCATATATAAATATTAAGCTTTTTCTTTTTGTAAATTTTGTACCTTTTAGGTCATAAATGCCTCATTATTTCATAAATCACAATTTCATATTTTTAATTTTATAATTTCTACATGCCATCTTACTAGATTTAAACTGATGATGAAAAATCCCAAATCTGGAATCACCGAAGTCCTGATGAATCCAGGTTTTGGACTTTGTACTGTATTGAAAATAGCATCAGATTTTAATACTTCATAAGATTATTAATTAAAAATGGATAGCTTGAAATTTTAAAAGAAAGAAATATTAATGTAATGAATCTAAGGTTGTTGATGTTGAATTACACTGGTCATCAAAATTAAAGGATGACAGGAAAAAAATGTAACTACTACTTAATGAAAAATTATTAATAGAAATTTGTACAAAAACATTAGTTAACATAAATTCCTGCTGTTTGGCAGTTGATTATTCTTAAAATATTTAAACTAAAACCAAATTCATAGAAATAAGAAAATGATGGAAAAATTAGTCGTCATCTCTTGTGAAAGAGTTTTCTTTAGTATGGTGTATGATATGCATACCTCTCATCTCTATTTCGTAGACTTTACTTAAGTGTTGGTCAAGTCTTAAGGAATTGCATGCCACTTTTCTAAAAGTGTACTATTCTGCTCCTGGAGTATCTGGGGAGGTATTTGGCGCTCCAGAATCTAGCTCCCTAAGGCATACCACTTATGCTAAATTGTGTTTACGTTGGTTGAGAAAGGTGGCTAGTCCATTCAGGTGGTATCTTCTGTTTGCAAGTATTTTGGCACCACATATGCTCGATGAGGCTGAGCATTGTCGTCTATGAGCAAAAAGTCTGTGTCAATGGCACCCCTAAATAGTTTTAACTCAGGGTTCCAATATTTCGTCCACATATCTTTGAGTGGTTAAAAACCTTCTTGAAAGATTTGCAGCTCGGTGTCATGATTCCTTCTCAAACCATTAAACCGCAGTTGCAAAAACAGACATTTCAGGGATAAGGAAAGGCAAATTGTGTGTTCCTTTCTCTCTCCAGATTAAAACATGTCTAGAATCACTGTTCAGACTATATCTGTACTCTTCAGTAAACAATACTCAAGCACAGTTGTCTTGGTTCCATTGAACATGACAACGCACCAATTTATCTGGAAGCTGGATGAGTGGGACAAACCATTGGTTTTCTCACATGTAATCCAACCTCATTAGCCTTTGTGCAGCAGAAAAAAAGCTAATTCAAGTTCCTGTAGTGGCGTGAAGGTCTAAAACCAAGTCTCTTGTAGTCGAAGTTTTGCTTTCTTCAAGCCAACAGAGACATAAAACACAGGGTTCATACGGTCCTTAAAAGTCCTTAATTTTTTCAAAAATGATTTTTGGTCCTTAAAAGTCCTTAATTTTGGCCAAAATTAATAAACGGTCCTTAATTTTGCTCATTTGACATTTCTTATCATTTCTAATGATTGCCATCCTATGTGTGAATTGCTATTTCTTGTGAATATGGAATTAAAATTGCACGGCTCTTAACCAATCTGTTGGCGGATTTACGTTGCAAACAATAAAAAAAAAAAATTAGCTACCCGAACGAAAGTATCGGTGTCTATCGGCTATTCACCCAATCTTTCGAAACAGGTGTTATCCATAAATTTAGGCAGATTGTGACGAAAGCGTGAAGCTGGAAGTTCTTTAAGAGGCGAAAGTGATGATGAAGGTGCTCGAGAAAAAAAAGCGGGGATTCTGAAAATATTTGCCAAAATTAGAGCAATCCCAACCTGGAAGGCCACAACCTTTCCGACGCCAATAGGAACGAGATGCCTGGAAAGTGCATTTTCAATAAACTGTGGCTTCATCAAGCTGACTACAAAGACTGGATATTGATGGATGACAATCCTTTATAAAGCTAAATGTGGTCTTTTGTCTGAAACAAATTGAAATTTCTAGAATGGGAGAGTCAGCGCTGAAAATTCACATGAAAATTAAGTTTCGTTTTATCATTTCAATTTGTTTTTACACACGGTTTTGCTTAGCTTAATTTCTGTGTTTGTTTCAATTAAGCCATAAATTAATTTTTTATCACCTTCTACGGAGTTTATTCTCTTTTGCACATACTATATGTATGGGAATATCGGGATTATGAGTTTATTTCTGCAGAGGGTCTGTTATCGATTTCGCGAGAAATCTGTTGGCTCCATTTCGATTTTAGGTCTGCCAAGGGCAAATTCGGTAACGCTAGCCGAGAAAAAGTGAAGTTCGGAAATACGTTTTGAAGCTTCAATAGAAGACAATTAAGTATTTGGTTTAATCCTATGCTGTTGATAGTAATGCATTATTTTTTGCTAATGGCGATACAATTATTAGTTGAAAACAACTAATTAAAAAATTTTTAATATTTTTAAAGCTGAAAACAACTAATTGAAACTAATTTTCCTGAATTAACTAGACGCAAAATTAACTTTCATGAATTACTAAAGTTATTGGGTAGAAGTTTAACTGAAAATATACATTCCGTATTATATATGACTTCGGCGATCCCAGATTTGAGATTTTTACGGATATTAGATCATTTTAAATCTAGTAAGATGGCACGTAGAAATTATAAAATTGAAAATATGAAATCGTGATTTATGAAATAATGAAGCATTTATGATTTAAAGGGTATCAAAATTTACAAAAGAAAAGAGCTTAATATTTATATGTTTACTTTATTAAACATTTCTTTCAATGTGAGGTGTTTGATTTTTTTCCTCTGCTGTTACTTTAGACTAATACTATAGACATATAATTTCTTGTTGAGTTATTAAGTTCCATTGTTCAAGTCCTGTAATTGCTGTGTCGAGAATTCCGAATAACTTGTCAATCAAAATTTTTTTCGT